CTACTCAAGTTATAGCCTTTTGATCTTGTGATGCAGTAATTTTAAAGAAAACCGTTTCTATTTTGCCTTATGACCACTCAGCATTCATTTAAGTTACGTATTCCGGGCACAATTGAGCTGAGATCTACCCCTTAGAAAAATCATGCCGCAAAACTATGACTTCATGCTTCCCTCCCTATATTCTCTATTGACGCAGTGTCAGCAAAACCAGATTTGTTTCTACATTCTCTCGCATGTTACTAACAACAAAATCTTTCTGCAGCGAAGAAAGATCCTCATGAGCAGATATATTAGAAAAAGATTGGATTGAAAATGCATTATGTCATGTAGCCTTCGGTTCATTCAATCATAATAGGATATCACAATATTAGCGATGTGAGTTGACTAAAGCTGTTAACCAAGATGTTTGGTTAGTCCTTGCAAGTATAACAGCAATCGAAAAAGTTCAAAGTATGAATAAAAGGAAGGAACGTAAATGTAACATGAAAATGAAGTGACAAAACAAAACAAGTAAACGTACCACTCCTTCCATCAGATCGGTTCTATCACTAAATTTCACAGCCGTTACATCGATGGTAGCACCTTCAGTCAGCGCCAAAAAGGCCTCATGATTGGAGCCCATAACTCTTTTCACTTTCGCTTTGAAAAGCACTTCTATAATGGCATAATTAAGAAGTTATTCGAATGGTGAAAAATAACTCACCATCGCATTGCTCGTCTCCGCAAAGCTTGGACTTTTTCGATACGATAGGTGGCTTTGCACCGTGCGTCACAACAAAAAGTATCTAAACAGCAGATGTTAGCTAAACCATCTAATAAAGATGACTGGATAGAACAAACCTGTAGTAACAAAATGATTTTCATTGTAACCATAGGTTTGTGCGAGTGAGTAAAGCTGTACATCTAATCGCTAATTAATGGCAAAAACAAAGACGAAGTCGAGAAAACGTGAGGAAAATCTAGCCGCACTTCTGAAATAAAACAGCACTGAATGTTAATTTAAAGAAAAAGATACTAAAGACAAGAGAACAAGAGAAACGACCTGCACAATTCAAACCATATAGAGTGAACAGCCTTCCCCACAAAAGTAATACAAAGCCTAAAGTTTGATGAGATATGCCACATGTTTGGATATACACGTTCTTGCTATATTAAAAAAAACCTTAACTGCCAATTGTTGGAAGCGCAACACCAGTACAGCCTATGGATGGGGAAAGGCGAAAAATTTGACTTAAACTCCAAAACAAATCATGAAGTTCTCGATAGAATAAATGATTGCTTTTAAAGGTTATACGTGGCAGCTTTTCAAACAATTAAACAACAGATAATGCAAGTGCCAACACAGCATGCAGATGCGTTTTGCATGTGTTATGATGTGAAAATGCAGAAACCGGTTGTTGTGCTGACGTCTTCGAACGCCGCGCTCGTCCTTCACTTGGTAGCAGGGCAGCAGAGGGTATGTAGAGCATGTTATTTTATCATTTGCG